ACTACTGAGATAAGGAATACTTAGGAATATTTAAACTGTTAAAATTCACTAAGCTATCCCTACAAGTCCAGAGCAGATAAACTTAGAAAAAGGAGCAGAGAAGGAAATACTTCTGTCACAGTAGTAGTTAGCTGTTAGACTGGATAAAGAATTGCGTATGAGAGAATGGGAAAACAGGCTAGACCAGGAGGTGTTATAAATAGAAAACTCATCTCCACCCAAGCTTGTCAAGCCACAGGTAGCTGACAAGACCAAGGAAGCAAGAATGACACAGATTCCAGTAAGGTATCTTTCATTCTAGTCTTGGGTAAATATGGAATCTTGAAAACTATAAGAATTTCCAAGCCTGAGTTACACTGAATTCATTAAGGCAAAATCTCTTTGAAAAGCTTTTCCCCACATCTCTTAGTAGCTGGATTGAATTGCCTCTGCTGAAACAAACAATGAAAAGCATTGTCCCCAGCTTTCCCAGTTTCTCAAAAAGTCTAATTCAGAACTCTTTTTCTTTTTCCTTGGCAGTTGCTTTTCGCATCTATGACATGGACAAAGATGGTTTTATTTCCAATGGGGAGCTCTTCCAGGTTTTGAAAATGATGGTTGGGAACAATCTCAAAGATACCCAGTTGCAGCAAATTGTAGACAAAACCATAATAAATGCAGATAAAGATGGTGATGGAAGAATATCCTTTGAGGAATTCTGCGCTGTAAGTGCAATTTTTTTTCAGCATTGCAGTGAGTATTTTCAAACACTTGGCATAGTTTAATCAGCTACTAATGTTTCTGTTATTTCACCTTTATTTGGCAGTTCTCTTCACTTTCTTCATATATCATTATAAGGATTTCAGTGTGTGCTTTGTAACAATCATGTGTTAAACTATTCTAAACTATTTTTTTTCAACCCCCCCCCCAGTTCAAAATAATCAGATTGATTAAGAAGAATTGAAAGATGCACAGAACTGCAGTTCTTTTCTTCCTGTTATATAATTGGATTCTAGGCTAATTATATCAATTTTATTGAATGTCTTAACTGGCTTACACTACTCATCCCTGATTACTCATTTATAGGCATGAATATTTGAAATCATATTATTCTTGACCTATTGTTGTTTCATGTCTTTGTAATTCTCATAGTATTCTTTCATCAACATTTCAGGTTGTAGGAGGCCTAGATATTCACAAAAAGATGGTGGTAGATGTGTGACTCTTTATACTACCCAACACTTTTGCTTTCTTCTCCATCTCTGAAGATCTGCTCAAGACGTCCAGCAATGCTCTCTGTGTATTTAAATGGAAGTATTTTTCTCTGTGAAACCACATTTTCCAACATGAGCCTCATGAAGCCAACTAAGTGTTGTTGAACTTTCATTCTCTCAATAACGCAAGTGTAGCACTTTAAAAGTCTGAAGGACAGCAAAATGGAAAGAGCATATCAGTGTGGTGGAGAAAGGGAAGGGGTTGGCTTTTTAATTTATTTTTCTCAACTTTTATAACAAGAAAATATCTATATCTATATCTATATATATATATGTATGTATTTATATATAGATATATATGTTGTGCTTTCTATTTAGTAGTTAGGCAAGCTTTAATTTAATATACTTGATTTAGACATAAAACTAGAGTACAAAAGTGCCAAGCAGAATATTATATAGTTCAATACATATAGATATACATCTTTACTTTTATGTCACACAGATACACACATGCAGGCAGACATACTTTAGAAGAATGTAATGTTTTAATGGATGTTAGATCAACTCTTTCCTGTGACTGTTTCAGATGTTTATATATTGACTGACTGAGATAGCATCATTACCTATTAATTTATCTTAATTACATTTTTGTATGACAGGAAGTTAGGTTAGTTTGTGTATATATGTACACTGTTTAATAGTATGTGTATGTATATACACATACACATACTATTTGTGTGTATTAAAGTAGCAAGGCATGTTATAAAACTTTAATTGCCAAGAACTAGGTTGTCTGTGCAAAAAGATGCTTATGACCATTTCATCTTTTCACTTAATAAATGAACACAACTGCATATAATAAACCCTAGTAAACATTGGCTCTTTTCCATTAAGTATAGATAAAACAGTTGAAATCATATTTGTTTTTCAGCACTAAGCTTAATTAAGAATTTAGGATTCATCACCTAGGATACCTTTTGCAGTGAGATTACAAAACCTCTCATGCCATTAAATTATCTTCCAACCATATAGTTTCCCTCAAGCATTTAATATACTAATTTAAGTTGCATAAAGCCTGATAATATTTTATATATGTGTATATAGGTTTATTACAGGAGAAACATTTAACCTCTGTCATAGGGAAGGAGGTAAGGTTCACATTATTTTTTTTAATCTCCTGATCTTCAGTTGGAGAATTTTTTTTTCTAAATTTGTTTATATCATGACTTGTAATAGATAGTAACTTTATATGTGTGATATAAAAGTAGCAAGGCATGTTATACAACTTTATATCATTCTTTTTCTGCAATGGTACTATTGGCTAGAAGAAAATGTTAGATTTTTAGGATAGTATGCCCTTTCCTCTGTAGCGTTTTTCTATTTAAAATATTTTATAATCAGCAGTGGGAAGGCAGGTTGTTTGAACTTAAATCAATTGCCTCCCAGCCAGCCATAGCTGTTCCTTCGATTGAGTGCTGCACATCATGGGCTCTGTCTGAGAGAGAAATCCAGGTGCTTGGTGTCCTTGCATGACATGAAGTTTTGCATGTAGATCGATTTGAAATGTTCCTCTTGTTTACATGATTTGCATAATTTAAAAAAGATAATGTTGCCAAACTTTTGGTAAATGTTAAAACAGAGAATCTCCACTACATGTATCTTTCTTCCTCTGGATCAGTATGTGGATTATAATCCCAGCCAGTGGTCGTATCTGTTCCATTGTCAACTGCCATGTGCTCTGCTTCAGGGGGAACTAGTCTTTTGTGAATTTTTTTGTACATAAATATTTGTTACAAATATTTCAGCAGTTGCTTTCTATTTCTTAATTGCTTGTGCATATCCTGGCTGGCGTAATAGAAAATAGTGCTAACATTACTTTCTTACTGGGGGATGAGCTTTTTTAGTTTGTGTGTGAAAAATGGGTTACGTTGAATGTTTAGATTTTTTCTCTGCATGCTATATCATACATTGTTGGAACTATAGGAACCTTCATAATGTATGAATAAAAATAAACTATTTGAACTTTACTGCATGGTGTTAAAGCTTCTTGAAAAAACAAGAACTGTCTGAATTTCAAATCTGATTGTACTAAAATGATTTGATGCTTTTACGTACAATTAAATACCTGTAACAATATTTTCCCATTTTTCTCATGACAGTTCATTTAACATCAGGCTTAACATTTATGGGGATAAGCAATTCTCAAACTAATTTTTCTTACATAAAGTTGAAGATGACATGTTAACCGTCCTGTATTTGTAAAATAGGTTCACTGAGAACAGTGGGATCAAAGACACATTAAGCTGTAACTTTATGGAGGCTTTTGGCACACTGATAGGGAGAATTTTATTTGATCAGTTTTATCCTTAGTTCCATGATGAGACCAATTTCCCTTTAGACAGAGTATTTTTTTCAAACTTTGCAACCTTGACTCATTGGACATATTAAGAAAAGTTCCGTTTAAAAGATAAGCCTGCTGTAAACATTAGGAAATAATGGATTTAGGATTGAATGTATATGCAGTTATATTTTTGTCCATTCCTCCTTCAACACAGAACCTTACACTTTTAAAAACAATATTGTCTTAGATCCAACGACAATATATATAATTGGAAAGTGTTCCCATGAATCTGAAAAGGGGATTTTTCTTGTACCGTCTCAGAAGCTAGCTACTAGAAAATATGAGAGGCTGTAACTAAGGACCAGCATCATAAATACAAGGCAGACATTCAGAGTTTGATTTGCAAATCAACATTAAACTTGAATAAGGTACTGGGAATTTACACAATAGTGGCTTAAGGGCTGGCTTGTGGTAGTAAAAGTATGAATTTTACTATGAATGTATCTTTAGTTTGCTATTTGCAGGCCCTTATTAGTATCCGCATAAATAGGGCAGGAGGGTTGTTAGCTTTTTGCAGAAACTTGTAGCAGTTCAAATAACAAAAATCAATTATTCTAAAAGCTGTTGTAAATTGTCTACACATTTGGACCACGAAATGATATGAAAGGGGCTGTGAACTATAAAAGCTTTAAGATGTCACATTACTAAAAATACATATAAAGGGAAGGAGACCTGTGTAAGATTCTTTTATAATGGAGGGATGTTCATGTTCTGAGAGTCAATTTAGTGTAGTGGTTAAAGGCATCAGGCCCTGAGTTCTAGTCCTGCACTAAAAATTCTCAGGGCCTATACAGGAATAATGCAAAAGCAACTAACCCTAGGTTCTGCTTGTGCTGTCTACCATATATCCCTCTGTAAACTGAAACTAGCCTGTTCTTTGCCACAACATGGGGAAAAAACAATCTTCCATTTCTCCCTTCCTCCAGGAAGGGAGAAGTTTGGTAGCATAACAGATTTCCCCAGTTCATCTCAAAAGTTCCTCAATAAGAGGGAAAAACATTTATGATTGGATTTTGCTTTGTTATTTGATCAAGTCAACTGAACACTTCAAAATCCAGATAGATGTAGTTAAATCCTTGTATTTTGTTAGTCGAGTACAGACTTTATTTAACCAAAGATGTATTTGTCTGCTGTATCACACCAGCAAATGCAATGGGCAGCCACATTGTGCTGTTTGTAGCAGAGTAGCCTCTCCTGCAGCAACTTTTGTTACATTTTTAAATATCTCAGTATTTTTTTAAAAAGTTGAGATTTTCTGATAAGTACAGTCCATCCAACAGTGACTCTCAGTATACTATCCAAAGTACTCTCTTGAAGGTTCTGTTCACAGTTGCTGTATTAGGTTAAATAACTTTGTATGCATTCAGTTCAAGACTGAAATATTAGTCATATTAGCTAGCAGGAAATCCAAGTACCAGTTTTTATTGGATATAACTTCATTTAGAATGTTTGATGATAGATCCTTGTTCGAGGACATTGCTGCAGCAGTTCTTTTATACACCAGTCATGTTGGAACTGAAAGTTGCTATTAGTTTATTAGGTATGTGCAAAATATTCCATGCATGGGACTGCTAATTTTGAGTGGTCCCGACATGAACTGAATCATGCATCTTCTGGACAGAAGTGTTTTGGGGCATTGGGGAAAGTGGGAAACCTATGGACACCGGTGGCAACTAAGCAGAAACAAGGAAATTGAAGATGCTGCAAAGATCAGAAGGATGGGCAGGTCAGTTAGATATTTCCACTAGAAGCCAAGGATGTGGCAGTAGCTAGTGGGAAGTAGGCAAGGGAGGCATTGGAAAGATAGTCTGCCACAGGCCATGCAGAGGAGGGAAGAGAGAGGCAAGGCACATCAGCCTTGCCCTACTCGCCCCCTAAAATCCTTCTGGATTTTGTCTTAGCCCAAACTTGGGACAAACAAAATATTCCAGGTTTTGGTTTGGCGGAACTGTCACCCACTTGAAATGGTTTAGCAGAACTTCTGAAACACAATGTGTTTTGTTTTGGGTTTTAAAGAAAACACATTTCTTTGTAATTTATATTTTGATGTTGCTTCTTTCTTCAAGTTATTTCCTGTATCTTGTGTAGAATCTTGTGACTTCAGAGCAAAAGACTTGGTCTTAAAATCTTTCTGCTACTCTACTAGCTACTGCTCTAATATTGCCATAAACTTTAGATGGAGGACTTCCTGCAGAAGAAAACAATGCATTAGTACAACTGAAAGTTAAAGTTTAATTTAAAATACCATGGCTATTGATATTACAATATATATTGAAAAATACAGCAAAAGCTCTAGAGTTCTAATGGTTCTTAAAACTGTTGCTTTAAGAATGGAAATTATCTACAGGACAATGCATGTGCAATTAAGCCAAACTCTTATAAGGATGCTATGCCATACATTCTTCTATTAAAAAGGAACCGCTTAGGCCTTTTCCTAACTAGCGTATGCCTAAATCTAAGTATGACAGTTTATATCAAATACAAAATTGTATATACAGTATTTAGGTTAAAAGTAAGGATATATTACTTCCTATAGATGGTAGATGCAGAACCAGAAGAATAATGAAGCCCACTGATGAGCCATCAGTTTGATGATATGGAAAAACATTAACTCTTTAATTTCTTGCTCCCAAAAGGCCTTCCAGTTTGACATATATGGAACGCAGCAGTTTTTCTCTGTTGGGATAAGAAGAGGTCCATCCATCCTCTATCCCAGCAGAGATTTTGTGCCACCTCAGCCTTTCTGTGTTTGATTACAGGAGAAGAGAAATTAAAAACTACCCATCCTTGAATACTGAGTTGTATAGGAAAACAGCCTGGGGGTATGAACAAATATATGAGTAGTTATGGCTCCTGATCCATTGCTGTCACTTAGCCCTTAGATTATCCCTTGCCATCACAGAAATGTCAAGTTACTTTTCTCTAACCAATAGCTCTTCCTGCTTGCAAATCTCTGCTCATTAACTGGCAGATTGAAAATATAATAAGATTAACAAAAGGAATACAAGTTTTACCTAAGATGAGATTGCAAATTGCTGTCCGTGCCATTTTAATGTTCTGGAAAGATCCTAAAATATGAACTTTCCTGTAATTAAAATTAAAAGTTCTTTTCACATCTAAAGTTTATGATATGGAACATTTGAAAGAATTCTACTTTTGTTGACTAAACAACCTTATATAGCACTTTATATTTTGATACAGAAGCAGCTCCAAGCTAAATTTTACTCTCACAAGGACAGATTTCAGCAACTGGATACACTTTGCCTCTACAAACTTTAGAAATGGTCATGACATAATGCCATCCGCATTTATTTCTTCAGATCCACTATCCTGAACCATCTGTTGGAACACACTGAATGTGTTAGCTGAGAATCATTACCTCTTCAATTTTTGCTTCTCCTACTGCATTAAAATATAGTACCTTTCTACTTTTAAATATAATCTTGCTACATACACACACATGCACACCTGATTGTGATACTAAACAATTTGGAATAATGCCCATAAAGCTGCTCTATTGCTACTTGTTTTTTGTGACATGTTGCCTGATGGCTAGAAATCTTGACAGCTTGAACATTTTTGGAATCTCTGAGCCAATCAAATCAAGGTATTGTCATAATATGAGTAATAACAATATTACACGTAGAGGCTTCATCTGCTGCCACAAATGATGCATGTATACAAACTTATATCAACTTGTGTATATACTACCTTTAGCCAGAAGATACACTGCCAAGTCATAATATTCTACTCAAAATACGTTTAGCTGAAGTACACTTAAAGGCAATGCTCCATTCTTTCTGGCCAAGGAAGCCATTCCTTTTATAATGTTCTGTGCTTTCAAGGCAAGCTTTAAAAGATCATCATAGTAGTGTCTCAGTCAGGATACGTTTAATGGGAATTTATCACTAGGACCCAATAAATTGAAGTTCCAGTTCTAATACATCCAGCATGTATAATAGGTGTGGCAAAATTCTACATGGAGTTCTGCAATTGCTTAAAAAACACAAACCCAAAAGACATTACACTATAACTTGGAAGTTTATTACCAAACATCCAAAATTAAAAGAGCAGTGTGGGGAGTACATAAATACTTACGAGTCTGCAAGAACTATTCGTGTCCTTGTTACATTTTCAATAGTAAATTTGGTTTTTCCTCCTTTCCCAGCAATTCTTCCTATTGCTCTTGAAAGATGATCTCCTTTTAAAGGCTTGACTAAAGAGAAAACTCCGTTTTAATTATTTACTACCTCTCTGGTCTCCAGTGTGTTTATGTTGGAGCCTAATGAATGATGATTGCTAAATCTGAGTAAGTGTGACCTAGTTCACTTAAGAGTCAAGTGAGAATCAGGTGTCTTTTTAAAATATGTATTTCGAAAAGAATCACAACGTTCTTAAAAAAAAACGCCCACATTTTAATGGGTTGTGCTGATAAGTAAAAATACTAGAACTGGGAGGATAAAATTCTACCATTTGCTTTTTCTCAACACTTGTCTCAGGTAAACTGATGAAACAAGGCACTCATTTATCCACAGAAATTACACCCAAGTCTTTGCTGATATAGAAAGTCTGCTAACAAAATTTAGAAATGTATATGTATGCATATAAAGAAACAACAAACATATTAAAAAGTTTTCAAGAGGCTTCGTTGCAACTAGAATAAGTGTTCCACAACTCTAATCACAAACCATAATCATTTTTTGGTAACAACAGAATATACATCTAACAGTGCTTTGGCTGTTCAATCTGCATTAAAGATTCTCATGAAAACTCAACAGAAGACCTGACAGTGATGATACACAATAATTAATCTATTGTCCTTTAACATATCTTTTGAAATTCACAAGACAAGTTAACATTTAAAAATACAGGCTGGCAGTTTTAACTGAGAAATGGTTTGACTAAAAAAATTAATCAGTGGAAACTGATATTTGAGACCAAACAATGTGAATACTCATTTCAGAATTATTTCTTTACGGGCTATTGTACTAGGAGACAAAGCCTTAGATTTATTCCTAACAATGGACAACAGTTCTGAATTACATGTATCTCACATACCTAATATTTGTTTCTGTTCCAAACTTTTGATATATTAGACTGATTGGCATACTTACCGTCTGTTACTTCAAACGATTCTAGAAAAAGCTCATCTAATCTAATCAATGCAAGTGCATCCTGAAACAGAAAACAGCAAACACAAATTTTAAAAAATAATAACTCTATGACTTTTAAAAATACAGGTTCAAGAACAGACAATAGTTAACACAACACAAGGATTCTCAAGCTTTGCATTACCAAAACACTCTAAAGTGATAAATAGGCTAGAAATCTGAAATAATGAATAAAAATACTAAAATTCACTAACATGCATATTTATACAATTACTTCAAAGAATACATACCACATACCACTACATCCCATCCTGCAAGTCACCAATTGGCAGGAAATCACCGGCCAATTAAAATGTACTAAAGCCATGGGTTTTGCCATCTCAAAACTCACTTCAGGCTGTGCTCCCCATTTTAATTGCACATGTTCACTGCACACTTGTCCAGGCAAAATGGAAGCAAGTTTTGACAGTGCATCTGTGTGGCATATGCAAGCCTCATCCACTGAGATATTTATTTATTTAGATAATAAATATAACTGCCCATGTCACCAAGGGGACTCTAGGCAGTGTACAGGAGGATAAAAACCAGAAAAACAACATGATTTGCATGAATAAATGTAAATAATGTCTGGACAGATACAATAACTGGGATTATAAAGTATTAAATCACTCAGCCAATTATCCAAAAAAGCCAAAACAAAATTCTCCCACCCATACCAAGATTCTACATAGATCTTTTCATTTCATATATGAAGTAAACAAAATGAGAACTTACCTCAACTTGAAATCCTAGTATAAAAGCTTTTACAAAATCAGCTGCTTTTGTCAAAGCACCTATGTCTTTTGTTTCTTTACAAGTCTAGAAAATAAAATCAGTCTTAAGATTTAGGTAGTGAAGATTCTTAGAAATCTTAGGAAGATTCACAAAATATTACATGAAGCAGCACATATCTACTCTCCAAAATACTTGCTCCAGTTAGTTCTAAATATTAATTTATATGATTTTATTATCACAACATTCTATTGCTTCTACTATATAAAACTAATTTGGCATTGTTAATGAGTAAATTAAAAAAATATATCCAAATTTATATTGGAAGAATTATGATAAACACATTCTATACACACCTAAAATGAACTGATAAATTAATTTCAGACCATCTAGAACTGACATTCCAAGATTAGTAACTCAGATCTAAAGTACTCTTTCAGCAAACCAGCAAGTTATGTCCACTTTCTGAGATTAACGGACTCAACTAACTATGAAAGAATTCTTTACAGGTTTATATATATTGGTCAGGTATCACTGTGCCACAATAACCAGTTAAACTGTGAATCAACATAATAGATCGACTCTTCCTGGTTTACAGAGAACAAAAACAGAAGGGGAAATGGATGTTCTGCCCATGCCAGTGGCATCAGAGTATAACTGCAATATACTCTGGTGCCATCAAGTCTGCAGAACATGTTCTGGACGGCAAACTACCAGATAAATAGTTCCCTTTGTTAAAGATTTGCAGACAGGTATATGCTCTTATTTAAACAATTCACATTTGCCTTATATATTCAGATTTGTTGCAATATGTATTTCATTGGAATGCACTCTCACATAATTAGCATTGATTTATTTGGGGTTTTGATTGATCAAAATAATACAGCTTATTAAGGCTAACTACCAAAACATTAATTTTAAACTAGATAGATTATTTGTAGCTGATGAAAAGGTAAAGCTGAAAACTTGTCTCAGCAGAATATTATTTCTAATGCCAAAAAGAAATTTAAAAATTATTTTCTCCAACTGCAGACACAGATACAAGACAATGGTAACTTTTCAAAAATAGTAGATTTACATTTTACCTTTATCTCTACATTCCTTGTTTTTAGGTTAAATCTAATTTGAAGCTGCAAATGTTCTACAATTGGTGTAAAAATTTTCATCCAGTTCTCTTTCAAAGGAGTGTATCTGTTTGCTGGTACAGGAATTTTTCTCAATTCATCTTTTCCATCCTAGAAAATATAATACTTTTTTTTAACCATCACATAATAAAACGTTCAGCAAATAAAATTATTCCATGTATTCAGTTAAATTATTTAGCTCAGTTTACATATATAAATTACAGAAATCATGAGATATAAATAATGGTCTTATTTTTTTCTAATGTTACACGTATCAAAGAGTTTCTTACCTTTTAAGATGAAGTCCTGTCTATTCAAAACTAGAGGAGAGCTGTGTTAGTTTGTGTTAGTCTATATTAATCTGATTGCATCAGACTCCTGATTTTTTGTTACTCAAAACTGATATCCATGCTTATACAGACCTAATAAAAACCCTGTTTCCTATATACAATGTGTATGAACTCAGTCACCCTATAACAGTATACTAAGGATCAAATAGAAATTTGTTACAGAAGATGAAGCAGCTTAAAGTGGCAAAATCCCCTTGCTTCCAATCCACACTGAATGCTGAGATTCATTTCTTAAAAACAAAGTCCTTCATTTAATAACAACAACAACAACAACAGCTTATTAAACTTGCATGCCACCTGACTTCCAATGACTCTGGGCAGCTCACAACATCAAAGAAATTACAGTAAAATCAATAAAAGATAAAGATAAAAGATGGCAAGCATGACAGACCAAATGGGACAAGGGGAAGGGTCTCACTCTCCTCATCAAAGGCCTGGGAAAAAAGTCAGGTCTGGATGAAAAGTCACGTCTTCACCGCTGTTCTGAACAATAGCACAGTGGGGACCATCCAGATCTTGGGGCAAGGGGAACATCATTCCAGAGGGCAGACACTGCTACAGAGAAGGCACATCCCTTATGTAACCAGGCCCTGTGCTATATAAGGCTTAGGTAACAACCAGCACCTTTTCTTGCACCCAGAAGCAAACTGGCAACCAGTGCAGCTTGCAAAGCATAGGTGTTACATGGGCATACCAAGGCAGGCCCACCACTATTCATGCCGCAGTATTCTGGACCAGCTGAAGCTTCCAAGAGGAGTCCGATGTTCAGTGCACTGCAGTAGTCAAGCCACAAGGTGACTAGGACATGAGTAAGTCCCTCCCCTCTCCCTCAATCTAGGAAAGGAAACAACTGGTAAACTAGATGAAGTTGTGCAAAGGCCTTCCTGGTCACAGATGACACCTGCTCTTCAAGCAGGAGCTGTGACTCCAGGAAGACTGGAGATTGCCCACCAACCTTGAAGTGCTACTCCATCCAAGATCAAAGATGGACTATCCCCAGATCTGGGTGGTCTAAACACCCACAGCCACTCAGTCTTGGTAGAATTGAATTGGAGATGGTTCCTCCCCATCCAAACTGGCACAGCCTCCAGGCACAGGGATAGAACCCTGAGACTCTCACTTGGCTGGCCCAGGGTCAAAAGATATAATTGCGTATCATTAGCATACTGATACCAAACCCCAAACCAGTGTATGACCTCACCCAGTGGTTCCATGTACATAGCCAACAAAGTAAGGGCATAGAGAGTGATCTCCCCACCTCCCAATCAACACAAACTGGGACAGGCCCGGGGGGAAAGGAAGAGAACCACCATAACATGATGCCCTCAATTCCCAGCCGGTGAGAAGGATATCATGGTTATTGGTACTGAAAGCTGCTGAGAGATCAAGGGGCACAAGGATGGATGTGCCACCATTCAGTGTCTCAGCACTGAAACCCCACCTGAAACCCGATTTTGATTTCCACCAAAATAGTTCCTTTCTCAGAATGAACACCAACGCGGAAATGGGAAGATGGCAATATAAATATAATTCTATCAATCAATCAATCAATCAGTCAAATAAATCAACCTGGAGGTTAAATTTGTGCTTAAAACCAGAGTAAGCCACATGCGGGTTAGTATTGGAACGTAGAATTAACCTGGTACTAAAACGCCCGCAGCGTAACGCGTGTGCTTGCCATTTACATTTCAAGACGCAACACGTATCACCCAGAAATGCCAGACCAAGAGGGGAAAACGCAGTCAGCGCCTAGGCATTAAGAAACGATCCCTGGGGGACCCTTTTCTACTTCGGCCAGCCCAACGCAGCCACGCCAGGAGCAACAGGAGTCACTTACGGCGAGGGCTTCACCGCTAAGAGGGGGGAAATCGGGCCTCTTCCTAGGCACAGGGCTCTCGTTCGTGTCCATCTGGGGCTCCCGGCGCCTCTTCCGCTTCAGGACCCTCGTGAAGCCTTCACTGTGAGTCTCTGTTTCCATCTCCGCCGGAGGCAGCAGCACCCGCTCGTCGCCAGCTCTTTCCATCTCCACGCTTTGCCGGACTATTCTAGCATGGCATCGACAGGAAGGGGCGGGACTACGTCGCGGGCCACGCAGGGCAACTGACAGCAACCTTCCCGTTCCCCCGTCTCGCACTCTATGGTTGGGCTCCGCACTCTTGTCTCCCCGCCCTTGTCTCGCTCTATAGAGAGAGCGAAGGCCTAACCTTCGTCCTCACGCGCCCTGCCAGTGAGTCTCAGACGGAAGGGGGCTGCGGTGCTGCGCAGAAAGGAGTACAGACAACAACTCTTCGGCTCTCTATGATCTAGTATCCCGGATGTGTGAGCTTTCCGTCGCCTACGCATGCGCGGAGCCGCTGAGGGGAGGGTGGCGGAAAGGGCGCAGGCTGGTGTGGTTACCGTTGGGCGCGGGGGAGGGTTCTTGTCGTCATGTCGGCGGGAGGCTTGCTGGAGAAGCCGCAGATCATCGCGCATACACAACACAGCCTGAGCTACACTGTCTTCGACTGCAAATGGGTGCCCTGCAGCGCTCGCCTCCTTTGCCTGGGCAGCTTCCCGCGCGGCACCGGCGTCATTCAGCTCTACGAGCTGCAAGGCGGCCGCCTCAACCTTCTCCGCGAAGTAAGGAAGGGAAGGCGCCGGGCTGCAGCCCCGGTTTTCCCGCAGCAGCAGCAAGGAGCCCGGGAATACCACCCTCACTTCCAGGACCACACGCTTCCCAGCCACGGTGCTAATTATACTCCCTTGGCCGCTGGGTGCCTTCCTGGGCTTAAGTGGAAGCTCAACCGTGGATTCCCCAGGCTTTTTCCAGCTGAGATCCATTACCTGACTCCAGGGCTGATACAGTAGTTCCAACAGAAGAGAATGTGTGTAGCTCAGGGTTGAACTGTGGAGTCCTTGGTGCTCTCTGAGCT